GTGTTGTCATATTTGCTATACACTAAGTGTGTCTGTGTGTATGCGTGTGTGTGCGTGTGTGTGCGTGTGTGTGCGTGTGTGTGCGCAGAGGGGGGGTGATCCCCCTGCCACCGAGCAATCAATCAATCAATCAATAGATCTTTTTGTAGGGGGGAAACTACGCCGGAGTCACAAAAAAATGAGTTACAATTGCACTATGGGCCAAGATACAGTTTCAAATTGCACTTCGAGCAATGTATACAACCCAACTTTTTGGCCAGGTAGGGTGCCTGAAGTGCAATTGCAAACTGTATCTTGGCCCATAGTGCAATTATAACTTGTCTTTGTGACTCCCAATCAATCAAGCAAGCAATCAAGCAATAAATCTACCAACCCATTCCTTCTATTTCCCCCCTATAAAAAAAAAAAATTGTAAGCCTCTCTAACCCGGATCGGAGGGGTGTCAATTATTTTTTACGTCACGAGGTCTTAGTAGAAGCCCCTTGCACCACCCCCTCCCTTATTTCCCGGTCTCGACGGCGGAAGGCCGCAAAATGGCTATGGGCCTATGGCCGATCACCGTGACCGCCCGATCACAGCCTCAGGGTGGTATCACCATGACCGCACTGGTCGGCGGTCATGGGGCTGACATTGTTTCTCATATCTTGAAAAATGTCAAACTGTGCACAAAATATTGTGTCATCCTACAATTGTGGTCATAGTTTTATATCCACAAGTTCAATAGAGTCGTACAGATCAAGGGGATGGTTAGGTGAAAGAGTTCACAGTTCAATTGAAGGTAATTCACAATAAAGAAACGAAATGTTTTCTGATGTTGCACACAACAAAAATATAGCGAACATTGAAGAAAATGACAATGGTATGGTTAAACCACCAGTACCTCGCTCAGCTACCGAGTCCAAGGCTCGGGCTACTGGTAGCCCGATCATTCTCGAGCCTCGGACTTTATTGCCGAGCCTCGGACAACCGGTAGTACATCACGAAAAAATTAAAAAAAAAAAAGAAAACACAAAAAAAACATAAAACATTCAGCAAGAAAAAAAAAGAAAAAAAAAACAAGGAATGCAAAGGTGCCCAACGAGAAGAATCTTCCTCGATAAAGAGGAAGATTCATTCTCGATAAAGAGGAAGATTCATTCTCGTGAGAGGTTCACTCAGAGAGAGAGAGAGAGAGAGAGAGAGAGAGAGAGGGACTCAGAGAGTCTGAAGCCGAGTTTGGTGCGCCAAAATCGACGTCGGACACTGCGGATCCGCCCCCCCTAAGCGACTCTCGAAATGTGCAAAATGAGAATGA